AGAAAGATAGGATGACAGTTCCAAGAAGTGATATACAAGGCAGGACGGGAACACTTTTGGTGGGTGTCAGGAGGTGATAACACTTGATAAGATACGATAAGGGGCCGTAGAAGGGGAGGGTGACTGAATTCGTAGCGCAAGTTGCAGCAGGTGTGGGACCGTGATTTCAAGGAGTGATATACATGGCAGGACGGGAACACTTTTGGTGGGTGTCAGGAGGTGATAACACTTGATAAGATACGATAAGGGGCCGTAGAAGGGGAGGGTGACCTGAATTCGTAGGCAAGTTGCAGCAGGTGTGGGACGTGTGATTTAGGAGTGGATAATCATGGCAGGACGGGAAGGGAAGATACTTTTGATGGGTGACAGGAGGTGATGACACTTGATAAGATTCGATAAGGGGCCTTAGAAGGGGAGGGTGACCGAAATCGTAGCGCAATTTGCAGCAGCTGCAGGACCGTGATTTCAAGAAGTGATATACATGGCAGGACGGGAACACTTTAGGTGCGTGACAGGAGGTGATAACACTTGATAAGATTCGATAAGGGGCCTTAGAAGGGGGTGACCAACATCTAGCGCAAGTTGCAGCGCAACGGTTTGGGAATCTGCAGTCATGTGAGGTGATATAGGGTGTGGGACGGGAACATTATTGGCGGGCGACAGAAAGTGATAACAGTTGATAAGATACGGTAAGCGGCCTCGGAAGGGGAGGGTCATCAGATTCGTAACGCAGGTTAACAGGGCACAGTGGGACCTCTGATCCGAGGCGATACAGGGTGATATGATAGTGATACGGGACGGGAGTGTTATTGGCGGGTACGGAAGTGATAGGAGCTAAAATTGACAAGGTAGCATGGGAAAATCCGCTTCACCGCTCACAACAACAATGCGATCGATATGACTCAAGTATAACGATCTCAGTGATTCCAACAGAACTCATTCCTCACTGCTTATTAGTAACGACATCGTGTACGACCGCTAAGCCAGCTCTATTCCAAATGCATGTGGTTTGTTTACAGAGATGTTATGAGCAGCAGCAACTGACTTTATCACTCGCTACCTCCAATTATCTTCATCAGCACTTCAGTGAGGGGCGCATTTAAAGGGTTCACTGCTGAATGCGGGTAGAGGCATTTAACCAAAGCAAGACGCTTTTAGGAAGAGATTGCATAAATTATAGGCTGCTTCAGTGGCTGTCCAAACAGGCTGCACTATTTCCGTGTAGGTTATGAACGTACCAGTCGGATCGCTGGCTAAGGCCGGCTTTCCTCCTTCTGTGATGCGGGGGGGGGGGGGGGGGGGGGGGCGCTGCTGCTGCTTCTGCGCCTTGACGGAACAAGCGCTGCTTTTCAGTTCTTGGCTGATGCAGAAGATTCCTTTGAACAGTGTGGTTGGTCAACGATCCTTAACTTAGCACGCGGCAAATCCGCATGGCCCGGCGAAGCCGGGCCATGTCACAGAAGGAGGAGCGCCCGGCGACAGCGGGCGATCCGACTGGTAGGAGGATAATTTGACTGGACAGATCTGGGTCAGATTTGCGCGTTCCGACAGCGCAGTGTACGCAGCCTCCAACAATGTTTTTATGAGTCGCGCCTTTTCTCATATGATGAGTTAGGGAAATTTTACAATTTTGTTTTTAATAAACAGCATCTGTTTGGGCCTCTCTGTGCGAGCCATTTCTGTGTATCTTTGAAAAGTCTTGTATTTTGCTGCAACTGCTGGGAAAAGAGAGCAGTTCGGGGTAACTGTTCACTGGAAATGTACTGCTTCGTTTAGTGCTTCGGTATGCCAAAAAAGTTTGCGAATGAGAATCCGAAAGTCATAGCGGCTCGAGATCGTAAAGCAGCAGCGAAGAAAGATGAACAGGAGAGGAAACAAAAGGTGCGTTGTGCCTGTAAATGACTTAAAAATCTGATCGCAGATACTTTAAGGCTGCCGAGATGCTTATTGGGCGATGACGAAACTGGTAACAAGGGAAAGCTCAGAGGAAGGTCGCGCTATTCAAAAACACTTCTTTTATCTAACGTCTTGAACGAACAATTTATTTAGGAGAGTGAAGAACGGGAAGCGTTGCTTGAAGCTTTGAAACGAAAGGAAGAAAACGTAAACTGTGCGAGGCTGAAATGGCAGACTCGCCGGCGTCAAGTCTGGCTTGTTCAAACACCGAGAAGGTGTACCAGGTTGAATTGAAGCCGGCGTGAAACGCTTTAAGGAGTTTCTTACGTTTTGTTTTAACATACTAATATTCAATATTTTTCCAGGGCCATCTTAGAGGAAAGAAAGGAGGCCGAACTTCGCTTGAGAAAAGAAGAAGAAGAGCGCGCTAAACTGGCTGCAGAAAAGATTGAGGTTTCTTGTTTAGTTTTGGCAATTAGTTCTTACGTTTCTACCTTTGCCGGGAGGTTACTAATAACGCTGGGGGCGGAGGATAGATTCAAGGAACCCCGCGTGGGACTCCCGCAATGGAGATATGGACGCTTACCCAATCTCAGAGAACAATGAGTTTCGTTGTTGATGGACCAAGTTACTATCTGTTCGGATGGTCGTCAGTCTAACAGGTCATCCAACAGACGTAGGTGATGCGTAACTTTTGTTTGGATGACGTCATTCCCATTTTGTTACGGAAGTCCTTTGATCCCCCCCACGCCCCAAACGCTGCGTTGGTGTGTCTTCTTCGACAGATTCTCTGCAAACGTAGGGAGGGTCGCACAGAACAAGACAAAGATTGGTCATGGGACGAAGCGGAGTTTACCCGCAATACTGACCATCATACGGCTGTAGGTTAGGTCAGACTTCGCGACGGCAGCGCTTCGGTCGCGCGTTCGACGCGATCGATGCAGCCGAAAGCATGCGCATCGATCGTCGAATCGCGCGACCAAAGCGCTGCCGTCGCGAAGTCTGAACGCTGCCTAACTTCTTCCCTTGACCACGTTCCTGCTTTGCTAATGTGGAGAACGGGCGGAGTTACCTGATTCCCACCTAGTCTTTGGTCATGCGTCCCTCAGCGCACTCACTGAATTCGCGGATTCTCCGTGTTCTGGAACTCTTGGAGTTTTAGCCTCCCAATTAAGTGTAAGAAATTCATACAGTTGATAACGTTGCAGTCAATCGGGGCGGTTTTAAGAGGGGTGGAATATTCTAGCTGCGCCATTTCCTGGTTGTTTTCTTCCTCAATCGATCAGTAACCGATCACCATCGGAAGAAGGCTCGTTCCGCCCTCCTTCCAGCGCATGATTGCGACCTTATCAACTGCAAATGCTTATATAATTTTCTCAAATGGCGCTTAACCAACGTTTGATTTTTTTCTGGGGGCGGATTGATCAATACCGATACCACTCGCTGATGCTGATTTACTTTAATTACCTCTTAATAATGTTATCGAAATAGTTGCTGCCCACCTTCAACGCCGTCTTTGCTCACCGCTGCGTATTACAACACAACTGTAGACCTGTAAACTCCTGGCCCATTAAAATATTGGTGCGACTTCGATTAAGCTGTGTGTAAAAATAGTGCTTAAGGTTGTCGACCATCTCGAGGAAAATGTCAACCAGCTGGAAATTAGGAACGGCCACTGCTCGAACGGTTGCAGAAGCCATTCAGGTTCTCGGCGGTGACCGTGAAGAAATCGATAAGCATCCCGAAAAGCGAATGAAAGCCGCTTATCTCGTGAGTTTTTGTTCTTAACTTTTTGGAGCCCTCCCAGTTGTTTTTTGGCTAATTATTTGAGAATCTAAGTCTGCAGAATACCGAGGTAGGGGCTGCGTCTTTACCTTCGGTATACTTGAGAATTGGGAACCGCTCAGTTTTGGTGATTCCGAAAGATCATCGAGGAAGATTAGGTAACTGTGAACTGACTCTAATTGGAGAGTCGAGATCAGAGATACGTATAACCACCTTTTCTAGGGATTTTTAAGGTGCCAAATCGGATACGTGAGCTTTCCTTTTTGTAGATACGGGTATGGTGACAAAAAGGTTTCAGTAATTTGCCGGCGGCTGCCTGGGTCGTCGCGTGCGACGTTCCCCGCCTCGCAAAGGACGATGGTTTCAGGCAGTAGATGGCGACAACATGCAATTAAGGACCGAAAACAGTAATGAGTGTCTACGATGACGGGGTCTACATGAAGTCCGGTGCTTCATTCGACAGGTTAAAACGAGTTATGAAAACGCCGCGCCATCGCCGCGCGTGGCGGTGCGGCGGAATTTACGATCCCTTCTTTACCGTCTCCCTGTAGATACTCTGAATTCCGCGATTCCTTTATTTTCACTTGTCGCAAGGATTGGTCGAGGGGTTTAAAGTTCCATTGTTGGGCTTGCCCCCTCATGACGAAATTTGTTTTCGAAGTGTAATTTTTCGCTCTGGGATGTGGTGCCCTTCGCTTCGCTTTCCGATAACCTTCCTTTCAAATTTGCATTTTCAGGCATTCGACGAAGCACAATTGGCCGCGCATCAACAGGAACATCCAACATATCGCTTATCTCAGCTAAAGCAGCTCCTCAAAAAGGAATGGCTAAAATCCCCGGAGAACCCGCTCAATGCCAAACTTATGGCTCTTTCTGCTGTATGAAAAAGAACTTCTCGAGTTTCTCCTTCTATTTGTACATCTATTGATGATTGTGCACTCGTGCTTTCTTACCTTTTCACGCATTGTATTTCTCAGTCATCTCTGCTCGCGTTTTAAATGTCAAGGTGTGCTAGAAAGCCTTGATTACCAGGCCAGCAATTTCTCACCATTTTCATATATGTAGGTGGAAATTTGCGAAATTGATCCTTATTTCGGGGTACAAGCATATGCAGCACGAGTTAGCTGATACTTAATAAAGATGAAAGAAAACTCTTGTTCCCTGAAGATTATGAGGTTTTGATTCCCTGATTTTTAATAAAGAAAGAAGAATTGTTGGCATATGTGTACTTAGTCTGGTTCGCTGCTAGTGAGGGGGCGTGCCCGCGCGGCTGCGTTTGGCGCGGAGCCAACTGTTTTTCGCTCTTCCTCCTTCGGCTTGGAACGGGACTGTGTCATATCGTCCGTTCGTTTTCCCCCCATGTTTTCGTTGTTTACCCTCTTATACACTGGTGGTGAATGGATTTGGCGGCACGCCAAACGCAGTCGCACGGACACGCCCTCATTATCCGCAGCGAACCACACTATACATTTCTTCTTCTCAGATGGTCAAGGTGTATCATGGCAAGGAGTTTACAACTTACTCATTAGATAGGCTAAATTCACTTACAGCCAAAGATGTAATCAGAGAAGTCACCAAAAGCGATTCAGACCGTTCAGGTATTTCCTCATTCTTATTTTCTTTTTGCCTATTTCTCCAATGACTGGTTACAGTTCTGAGTTATACCGGACGCTTCCTCCCGTCAGACACGCAAATGAGTTCACACAACCTTCGTGAAAGTGATGTATTACGCATACTTCAGGGCGGCGGTGCTCCGAAGTTGAATCAGGTTAGAAAAAAATGTGCACACTTCGTCATTACAGTGAAGTTTTCCACTTTCACAGCCTTGTGACGACTCGCTTCTACGTGAATGTGACCGCTTGTTCGATTATTTACAGAAAGAGGAGTCCGGATATGTGAGTTGCTCATACCAGTAATTGACTGTTTTCAACTTCATTTATCGTGGCCTCTTTGGCTAGAAAAAGTGGGAAGTGAACAGTCACGAGGGAGGTGGGGGGGGGGGGGTGTTGCGTGACCACTTGAGTTTTTGTGCATGGTTTGCGACAACTCCTTACACAGACAGAGAACAGCGGCTGCAGAAGTACAGAAAAGTGCGAATGAGCAAAAGATGGGGAGGGGATTCTGAGATGGGTGTGCTGGGTGTGGCACTCATGGCGTGCGAAACACTGGAGAACGCAAAATACTGGGAGTGAGAGAGTGAGAGAACGCAGACAGACGATAGAGTTCAGAGAAGCCAGGAAA